GAGGGAATGCAAAAAAATCGCGCCATCGTGACCGAAACCAAGGTATTTTGGGGATTGGGAAAAGGGTTTCGGGAGAACCACAACCTAAAACACACCTCCTCGCCATTTCTGCTACGCCCCAGCAAGCAATTTTGCATTTAAAAGACGTCTATTAGACATCTAAATATAGCCTCTAGAGATGTCTAGGCTAAATTTGGGCTGTCAGTTAAAATCTAATAGACGTCTAATCACAGCCCATTTATAGACTAGTCATCAATTAGACCGCTATTAAACGACTACATATATACGTCTAGTAGACAACAAAATGGCAATCCATACATACAGCTTTTATTAAGAAAAATAAAATTTGTAAAAACTTGGACAACTTAAGACAATACTAAATGATCAACCAACAGTGAACTTAAAGGAAATTATTAATTATTGGTTTTATTTCTTGTTTAAAATGCCTCCCAACTGCATTCCTCAAGTCCAACTCTCTTGCTGCCGGGAAGCTTGTCATCACAGTATCTGCCAAAGAAGAAAGAAGAAAAAAAGCACAAGAAAAGCTTGACATAATTATTTTACTTTAATGACACTAATTGTGACAGGGAGTCATTCTCTTTTGCTTGGATGCCATCTCTGGTAAATGTTGTGTGTTTATACACATGCCTCTGATGACCGAGAACAGTGCAGTCTTTTCAAATGCCTCTTTCTGCAGCGGACCACCCCCCCCCGTCATGTTGAATTTGGACATGAGGGAATGTTTTTAAAACCCTAAAATATAATACAGATTGAGGTGGTTAACAATTGCGGACAAAGTTTGACATTTCAAAATGACCAGTAAAGGAATTATTTTTTTAAATTTCTGATTTGCGTTGTTGATTAATGTTGCATGTTTTGTAGGCTTTACCTGTCCAGCATCCTTCTGGCACTGTCTTTGAGGTTTCTTCCTTCAACTCTGCACAACTTTGACACCTGAATAACACATGCCAATGTCAGGCGGGTGCTCATTGACCTGCAACACTGATGTCCATCACTAACCCTTTAAAATTCTTTATTCCAACAGTTTAAGTTTTTCCCTATTAGTGCCTCCCACAGTCTCTGCCTCCAAAATTGTCTAGCACAACTGACTTCATAACAACACAGTGATAGCTGCTGTAACTACAAAGTAGCCCAGTACACACATTAACCTCATATGTACACGGACTAATGTCTTTGAGGTTTCTTCCTTCAACTCTGCACAACTTTGACACCTGAATAACACATGCCAATGTCAGGCGGGTAGTATTATATGCGTCCGTGTACAAGTGTTTACCAACCTTAAACATTGAAGCCCATTGACCTGCAAGTTTTCCATCACTAACCTTTTAAAACTCTTTATTCCAGAAGTTTAAGTTTTTCCCTATTAGTGCCCCCCACAATATGTCTCTGCCTCCAAAATTGTCTGGCACAACTGACTTAATAACAACACAGTGATAGCTGCTGTAACTAAAAAGTAGCCCAGTACAAACATTAACCTCAAATGTACGTGGAATAATAAATTCACCCCCACCGTTTTATTACATTATGTTTTCTGTTTGTACTGTTTAGGTTTTAATGCTGGATTGCACATCTGAGCTATTTGTACTTATTTTTTGTATTCTTAAGCTTTACTATCAATTTGGAATTTTCAAAATAAATCTTATTGTAACGTTACTATATATTCTATTCAATTAGCTCATGCTCTCTCTGTATCTAACAAGCCATTGTTCAGTAATGAATTCAATAATAATTAAAATAAATGATGGACTTTGTCAAAGATGAGAGCTTTAGTGAGGAAATGTTGTTTTGGAGAGGGTTTTTTTTTTCATTGCTGCCCGGATCTTTTCCAGATGTTGAAACTCCACTTCAGTTTCTCCAGTTCTTCTGGAGTGTGTTCACTGTATAAATTAATATGGATTAATCTTTGTCAAAGCTGTGTTTGTTCTGTTGTTTGCTCTTTGCTCTTTTTGCAGTGTTTTAAAATCGATTGAGTTTGTAAACACGGCATAATAAATAATGCTATATTTAATAATGCTGCAAAATAATTAAATAAAATATAAAATAATGTTAATTTAAATGCATAAGTGATTAACTGTGTGTGTGCAAAGACTGAAGATGATAAAGTTAAAGCAACAGAATAGGGAGGGATGGAGTGGGTTTTGGAGGTGGACAAGGAGATGGCGTAGGGATGGTGAGAGGCAAAAGTGCGGGATGATGGCAGGATGTGGCGAAGGGATGGTGATGGGAGGATGACGATGATGCCCTGGCAGCTTAGATGGTGTTTGGCACGTG